ACAGACTGGCATCTGAGACGGTTTTGATATAGATACAGACTGGCATCTAAGACGGTGCTGATCTAGATAAAGACTGGCATCTAAGACGGTGTTGATCTAGATACAGACTGGCATCTAAGACGGTGTTGATCTGGATACAGACTGGCATTGAAGACGGTGTTGATCTAGATTCAGAGTGGCATTGAAGACGGTGTTGATATAGATAAAGACTTGCATCTAAGACGGTGTTGATCTAGATACAGACTGGCATCTAAGACGGTGTTGATCTAAATACAGACTGGCATCTAAGACGGTGTTAATCTAGATGCAGACTGGCATCTAAGACGGTGTTAATCTTGATACAGACTGGCATCTAAGACGGTGTTGATCTAGATACAGACTGGCATAAAGACGGTGTTGATCTAGATGCAGACTGGCATCAAAGACGGTGTTGATCTAGATAAAGACTGGCATCTAAGAAGGTGTTGATCTAGATAAAGACTGGCATCTAAGAAGGTGTTTTTTTCTAGATACAGACTGGCATCTAAGACGGTGTTGATCTAGATACAGACTGGCATCTAAGACAGTGTTGATCTAGATACAGACTGGCATCTAAGACGGTTTTGGTCTAGATAAAGACTGGTTTCTAAGACGGTGTTGATCTAGATACAGACTGGCATCTGAGACGGTGTTGATCTAGATGCAGACTGGCATCTAAGACGGTGTTGATCTAGATACAGACTGGCATCTAAGACGGTGTTGATCTAGATACAGACTGGCATCTAAGGCGGTGTTGATCTAGATTCAAAGTGGCATTGAAGACGGTGTTAATCTAGATAAAAACTGGCATCTGAGACGTAGTTAATCTAGATGCAGACTGGCATCTAAGACGGTGTTGATCTAGATACAAACTGGCACCTAAGACGGTGTTGATCTAGATGCAGACTGGCATCTGAGACGGTGTTGATCTGGATACAGACTGGCACCTAAGACGGTGTTAATCAAGATACAGACTGGCATCTGAGACGGTGTTAATCTAGATGCAGACTGGCACCTAAGTCGGTGTGAATCTAGATACAGACTGGCATCTGAGACGGTGTTGATCTGGATACAGACTGGCATTGAAGACGGTGTTGATCTAGATTCAGAGTGGCATTGAAGACGGTGTTGATATAGATAAAGACTTGCATCTGAGACGGTGTTGATCTAGATGCAGACTGGCATCTGAGACGGTGTTGATCTAGATGCAGACTGGCACCTAAGACGGTGTTGATCTAGATACAGACTGGCATCTGAGACGGTGTTGATCTGGATACAGACTGGCATTGAAGACGGTGTTGATCTAGATTCAGAGTGGCATTGAAGACGGTGTTGATATAGATAAAGACTTGCATCTAAGACGGTGTTGATCTAGATACAAACTGGCATCTAAGACGGTGTTGATCTAAATACAGACTGGCATCTAAGACGGTGATAATCTAGATGCAGACTGGCATCTAAGACGGTGTTAATCTTGATACCGACTGGCATCAAAGACGGTGTTGATCTAGATAAAGACTGGCATCTAAGAAGGTGTTGATCTAGATAAAGACTGGCATCTAAGAAGGTGTTTTCTTCTACATACAGACTGGCATCTAAGACGGTGTTGATCTAGATACAGACTGGCATCTAAGACGGTTTTGGTCTAGATAAAGACTGGTTTCTAAGACGGTGTTGATCTAGATACAGACTGGCATCTGAGACGGTGTTGATCTAGATGCAGACTGGCATCTAAGACGGTGTTGATCTAGATACAGACTGGCATCTAAGACGGTGTTGATCTAAATACAGACTGGCATCTAAGACGGTGTTAATCTAGATGCAGACTGGCATCTAAGACGGTGTTGATCTAGATACAAACTGGCACCTAAGACGGTGTTGATCTAGATGCAGACTGGCATCTGAGACGGTGTTGATCTGGATACAGACTGGCACCTAAGACGGTGTTAATCAAGATACAGACTGGCATCTGAGACGGTGTTAATCTAGATGCAGACTGGCACCTAAGTCGGTGTGAATCTAGATACAGACTGGCATCTGAGACGGTGTTGATCTGGATACAGACTGGCATTGAAGACGGTGTTGATCTAGATTCAGAGTGGCATTGAAGACGGTGTTGATATAGATAAAGACTTGCATCTGAGACGGTGTTGATCTAGATGCAGACTGGCATCTGAGACGGTGTTGATCTAGATGCAGACTGGCACCTAAGACGGTGTTGATCTAGATACAGACTGGCATCTGAGACGGTGTTGATCTGGATACAGACTGGCATTGAAGACGGTGTTGATCTAGATTCAGAGTGGCATTGAAGACGGTGTTGATATAGATAAAGACTTGCATCTAAGACGGTGTTGATCTAGATACAAACTGGCATCTAAGACGGTGTTGATCTAAATACAGACTGGCATCTAAGACGGTGATAATCTAGATGCAGACTGGCATCTAAGACGGTGTTAATCTTGATACCGACTGGCATCAAAGACGGTGTTGATCTAGATAAAGACTGGCATCTAAGAAGGTGTTGATCTAGATAAAGACTGGCATCTAAGAAGGTGTTTTCTTCTACATACAGACTGGCATCTAAGACGGTGTTGATCTAGATACAGACTGGCATCTAAGACGGTTTTGGTCTAGATAAAGACTGGTTTCTAAGACGGTGTTGATCTAGATACAGACTGGCATCTGAGACGGTGTTGATCTAGATGCAGACTGGCATCTAAGACGGTGTTGATCTAGATACAGACTGGCATCTAAGACGGTGTTGATCTAAATACAGACTGGCATCTAAGACGGTGTTAATCTAGATGCAGACTGGCATCTAAGACGGTGTTAATCTTGATACCGACTGGCATCTAAGACGGTGTTGATCTAGATACAGACTGGCATAAAGACGGTGTTGATCTAGATGCAGACTGGCATCAAAGACGGTGTTGATCTAGATAAAGACTGGCATCTAAGAAGGTGTTGATCTAGATAAAGACTGGCATCTAAGAAGGTGTTTTTTTCTAGATACAGACTGGCATCTGAGACGGTGTTGATCTAGATGCAGACTGGCATCTAAGACGGTGTTGATCTAGATACAGACTGGCATCTAAGGCGGTGTTGATCTGGATACAGACTGGCACCTAAGACGGTGTTGATCTAGATTCAAAGTGGCTTTGAAGACGGTGTTAATCTAGATAAAAACTGGCATCTGAGACGTAGTTAATCTAGATGCAGACTGGCATCTAAGACGGTGTTAATCTAGATGCAGACTGGCACCTAAGTCGGTGTGAATCTAGATACAGACTGGCATCTGAGACGGTTGTCATCTAGATGCAGACTGGCACCTAAGACGGTGTTGATCTAGATACAGACTGGCATCTGAGACGTTGTCAATCTATATGCAGACTGGCATCTAAGAATGTGTTGATCTAGATACAGACTGGCATCGAAGACGGTGTTGATCTAAATAAAGACTGGCATCTTACACGGTGTTGATCTAAATAAAGACTGGCATCTAAGAAGGTGTTGATCTAGATAAAGACTGGCATCGAAGACGGTGTTGATCTTGATGCAGACTGGCATCTTAGACGGTGTTGATCTAGATACAGGCTGGCATTGAAGACGGTGTTGATCTAGATACAGACTGGCATCTGAGACGGTGTTAATCTAGATGCAGACTGGCATCTTAGACGGTGTTGATCTAGATACAGAGTGGCATTGAAGACGGTGTTAATCTAGATAAAGACTGGCATCTAAGACGATGTTGACCTAGATGCAGACTGGCATCTAAGTCGGTGTTGATCTAGATACAGACTGGCATCTTAGACGGTGTTGATCTAGAAACAGACTGGCATCTAAGACGGTGTTGATCTAGATAAAGACTGGCATCTAAGACGGTGTTGATCTAGATACAGACTGGCACCTAAAACGTTGTTAATCTAGATGCAGACTGGCATCTGAGACGGTGTTCATCTAGATACAGACTGGCATCTACGACGGTGTTGATCTAGATACAGACTGGCACCTAAGACGGTGTTGATCTAGATTCAGAGTGGCATTGAAGGCGGTGTTAATCTAGATAAAGACTGGCATCTGAGACGTAGTTAATCTAGATGCAGACTGGCATCTAAGACGGTGTTGATCTAGATACAAACTGGCATCTAAGACGGTGTTGATCTAGATAAAGACTGGCATCTAAGACGGTGGTGATCTGGATACAGACTGGCATCTAAGAAGGTGTTTTTTTCTAGATACAGACTGGCATCTAAGACGGTGGTGATCTAGATAAAGACTGGCATCTAAGAAGGTGTTTTTTTCTAGATACAGACTGGCATCTAAGACGGTGTTGATCTAGATACAGACTGGCATCTGAGACGGTGTTGATCTAGATGCAGACTGGCATCTAAGACGGTGTTGATCTAGATACAGACTGGCATCTGAGACGGTGTTGATCTAGATACAGACTGGCATCTAAGATGGTGTTGATCTATATACAGACTGGCACCTAAGACGGTGTTGATCTAGATACAGACTGGCATCTAAGACTGTGTTGCTCTAGATAAAGACTGGCATCTGAGACGGTGTTAATCTAGATGCAGACTGGCATTTGAGACAGTGTTGATCTAGATACAGACTGGCATCTAAGACGGTGTTGGTCAAGATAAAGACTGGCATCTGAGACGGTGTTGATCTAGATGTAGACTGGCATTTAAAACGGTAATGATCAAAATACAGACAGGCATCTAAGACGGTGTTGATCTGGATGCAGCCTGGCATGTAGTACTTATGTGTAGCTAAAACCGCTACTGACAACATGTGTACAATCTAGAACTCTACGAATGTTGACTACATGCCTACATGCTTTTACTGTACTTCTGTTGACTACAGGTCCACATGCTTTAACTGTACGTTTGTTCAGGTCAATTTGTTTGCATTTAGAATGAATCTGTTAATAACTTTGTTTTCCGTAAATATATATATAATTGCATTCTCAGAGACCCGAACCGAGGTCCAGACGAAGTGTCATTGGGGATCTGGCCAGAATATTCCGAAAAACAACAGTATCTTGAACTCAACCTCAACCTGCTGAAGTTAGATGCAGCACTGAACGTCGGGACTGGACCAAGGACCAAACAGTGTGCATTCTGGAAACACTACCTACCTCGACTTGTTGCCGGAACAGGTAACAGTAGTGTTACTTCACCCTCCCCCAGCATGCTTTCTTTAACACAGTTCTGTTAAATAAACACTGACAAGTCTGACATTATATGACTTCCCCATATATTCTAAAAAGGCTTTACACACGTTCACTTGTACTCCGATCACATATACCACAACATTGGGCTTTTTGCTCTTTTTGGGTAACTTTCATGACCATGTATATGTAAGACAACGCATTGCTATCAACCTCTGCTTCATCATGTGACATAACTCTGCCATTAACTCCTAACTCATCATGTGAAATGGCATTGCCATCAATCCCTGCCTCATCATGTATGACATAGCATTGCCATCAACCCCTGCCTCATCATGTGACATAACACTGCCATCAACCCCTGCCTCATCATGTATGACATAACATTGCCATCAACCCCTGCCTCATCATGTCTGACATAACATTGCTATCAACCCCTGCCTAATCATGTGACATAGCAATGCTATCAAACCCTGCCTAATCATGTGACATAGCATTGCCATCAACCCCTGCCTCATCATGTGTGACATAGCATTGCTATCAACTCCTGCCTCATCATGTGACATAGCATTGCCATCAACCCCTGCCTAATCATGTGACATAGCATTGCTATCAACCCCTGCCTCATCATGTATGACATAGCATTGCTATCAACTCCTGCCCCATCATGTATGACATAGCATTGCCATCAACCCCTGCCTCATCATGTATGACATAGCATTGCTATCAACCCCTGCCTCATCATGTATGACATAGCATTGCCATCAACCCCTGCCTCATAATGTGTGACATAGCATTGCTATCAACCCCTGCCTCATCATGTATGACATAGCATTGCCATCAACCCCTGCCTAACCATGTGACATAGCATTGCTATCAACCCCTGCCTTATCATGTATGACATAGCATTGCCATCAACCCCTGCCTTATCATGTGACATATCATTGCCATCAATCCCTGCCTAATCATGTGACATAGCATTGCCATCATCCCCTGCCTCATAATGTGTGACATAGCATTGCTATCAACCCCTGCCTCATCATGTATGACATAGCATTGCCATCAACCCCTGCCTCATCATGTATGACATAGCATTGCTATCAACCCCTGCCTCATCATGTATCACATAGCATTGCTATCAGCCCCTGCCTCATCATGTATGACATAGCATTGCCATGAACCCCTGCCTCATAATGTGTGACATAGCATTGCTATCAACCCCTGCCTCATCATGTATGACATAGCATTGCCATCAACCCCTGCCTCATCATGTATGACATAGCATTGCTATCAACCCCTGCCTCATCATGTATCACATAGCATTGCTATCAACCCCTGCCTCATCATGTATCACATAGCATTGCTATCAACCCCTGCCTCATCATGTATGACATAGCATTGCTATCAGCCCCTGCCTCATCATGTATGACATAGCATTGCTATCAACCCCTGCCTCATCATGTATGAAATAGCATTGCTATCAACCCCTGCCTCATCATGTATGACATAGCATTGCTATCAACCCCTGCCTCATCATGTATGACATAGCATTGCTATCAACCCCTGCCTCATCATGTGTGACATAGCATTGCTATCAACCCCTGCCTCATCATGTATGACATAGCATTGCTATCAACCCCTGCCTCATCATGTATGACATAGCATTGCCATCAACCCCTGCCTCATAATGTGTGACATAGCATTGCTATCAACCTCTGCCTCATCATGTATGACATAGCATTGCTATCAACCCCTGCCTCATCATGTATGACATAGCATTGCCATCAACCCCTGCCTAACCATGTGACATAGCAATGCTATCAACCCCTGCCTTATCATGTATGACATAGCATTGCCATCAACCCCTGCCTTATCATGTGACATATCATTACCATCAATCCCTGCCTAATCATGTGACATAGCATTGCCATCAACCCCTGCCTCATGATGTGTGACATAGCATTGCTATCAACCCCTGCCTCATCATGTATGACATAGCATTGCCATCAACCCCTGCCTCATCATGTATGACATAGCATTGCTATCAACCCCTGCCTCATCATGTATGGCATAGCATTGCTATCAACCCCTGCCTCATCATGTATCACATAGAGTGCTATGCTATCAACCCCTGCCTCATCATATATGACATAGCATTGCTATCAACCCCTGCCTCATCATGTATGACATAGCATTGCCATCAACCCCTGCCTTATCATGTGACATATCATTACCATCAATCCCTGCCTAATCATGTGACATAGCATTGCCATCAACCCCTGCCTCATAATGTGTGACATAGCATTGCTATCAACCCCTGCCTCATCATGTATGACATAGCATTGCCATCAACCCCTGCCTCATCATGTATGACATAGCATTGCTATCAACCCCTGCCTCATCATGTATGACATAGCATTGCTATCAACCCCTGCCTCATCAGGTATGACATAGCGTGCTATGCTATCAACCCCTGCCTCATCATGTATGACACAGCATTGCTATCAACCCCTGCCTCATCATATATGACATAGCATTGCTATCAACCCCTGCCTCATCAGGTATGACATAGCATTGCTATCAACCCCTGCCTCATAATGTGTGACATAGCATTGCCATCAACCCCTGCCTCATCATATATGACATAGCATTGCTATCAACCCCTGCCTCATCATGTATGACATAGCATTGCTATCAACCCCTGCCTCATCATGTATGACATAGCATTGCTGTCAACCCCAGCCTCATCATGTATGACATAGCATTGCTATCAACCCCTGCCTCATCATGTATGACATAGCATTGCTATCAACCCCTGCCTCATCATGTATGACATAGCATTGCTATCAACCCCTGCCTCATCATGTATGACATAGCATTGCCATCAACCCCTGCCTCATTATGTATGACATAGCGTTGCTATCAACCCCTGCCTCATCATGTATGACATAGCATTGCCATCAACCCCTGCCTCATCATGTATGACATAGCATTGCCATCAACCCCTGCCTTATCATGTATGACTTGGTATTGCTATCAACCCCTGCCTCATCATGTGTTACATAGCATTTCTATCAACCCCTGCCTCATCATGTGTGACATAGCATTGCTATCAACCCCTGCCTCATCATGTATGACATAGCATTGCTATCAACTCCTGCCTCATCATGTGTGACATAGCATTGCTATCAACCCCTGCCTCATCATGTATGACATAGCATTGCTATCAACTCCTGACTCATCATGTATGACATAGCATTGCCATCAACCCCTGCCTCATCATGTATGACTTGGCATTGCTATCAACCCCTGCCTCATCATGTATGACATAGCATTGCTATCAACTCCTGACTCATCATGTATGACATAGCATTGCTATCAACCCCTGCCTCATCATGTATCACATAGCATTGCTTTCAACTCCTGACTCATCATGTATGACATAGCATTGCTATCAACCCCTGCCTCATCATGTATGACATAGCATTGCCATCAACCCCTGCCTCACTATGTATGACATAAAACTGCAATCAACCCCTGCCTCATAATGACACAGACACGTGAAGATCTGGGGTAGAATAGGTCATCAGCAACCCAAGCTTGGTGTGAAAAGTGACTATGCTTGTCGTAAGAGGCAACTCACGGGAACGGGTGGTCAGGCTCGCTGACTTGGTTGATTCACGCCATTGTATCCCAACTGCACGGATCGATGTTCATGATGTCAGTCACTGGATTGACTTGTTCAGACTCAATTATTTACAGGCCTCCGTCATATAGCTGGAATATTGCTGAGTGAGCCATTAAACAACAAACAAACAAACATCATGTGACAAAGCATTGGTATCAACCTTTGCCTCATCATGTATGACAGAGCATTGCCATCAACCTCTTACTTACTTACTTACTTACTTTGGAGATTTAACGTGCGCTTTCCGACTGATGCGTAGAAACCTCTTAACGTAGGCTTTATTTATAAAATGTAATTTTGGTCTTTGCTTCCAACTGATCTGCCATAAGTGAAATAGTGCTCAAAGCAGGACCAAGCCCATATCCTTCTCTAACTCCATGTCACACAAATCACAGGTTCGTGTCAAATCTGCGGCAGACCGGTCCCAGATGTGTTTCCTGTTCGCGTCATATAAACAACAGATGCATGTCCTCTCTGCATTTACTTTTCAACTCCGTGTCATATCAACCACAGTTGCGTGTCAACTCCGTGCCATATCAACCACGGTTGCGGGTCAACTCCGTGCCATATCAACCACACTTGCGGGTCTACTCCGTGTCATATCAACCACACATGCGTGTCAACTCCGTGTCATATCGACCACACATGAGGGTCTACTCCGTGTCATATTGACCACACATGCGTGTCAACTCCGTGTCACATCGACCACACATGCGTGTCAACTCCGTGTCATATCGACCACACATGCGTGTCAACTCCGTGTCATATCGACCACACATGCGTGTCAACTCCGTGTCATATCAACCACACTTGCGGGTCAACTCCGTGTCATATCAACCACACATGCGGGTCTACTCCGTGTCATATCGACCACACATGCGGGTCTACTCCGTGTCATATCAACCACACTTGCGGGTCAACACCGTGTCATATCGACCACACATGAGGGTCTACTCCGTGTCATATCGACCACACATGCGTGTCAACTCCGTGTCATATCGACCACACATGCGTGTCAACTCCGTGTCATATCGACCACACATGCGTGTCAACTCCGTGTCATATCGACCACACATGCGTGTCAACTCCGTGTCATATCAACCACACATGCGTGTCAACTCCGTGTCATATCAACCACACATGCGTGTCAACTCCGTGTCATATCGACCACACATGCGTGTCAACTCCGTGTCATATCGACCACACATGCGTGTCAACTCCGTGTCATATCGACCACACATGCGTGTCAACTCCGTGTCATATCAACCACACTTGCGGGTCAACACCGTGTCATATCGACCACACATGAGGGTCTACTCCGTGTCATATCGACCACACATGCGTGTCAACTCCGTGTCATATCGACCACACATGCGTGTCAACTCCGTGTCATATCGACCACACATGCGTGTCAACTCTGCGTCACATTGTGTCCGCCTCATGTCAGTTCAATCAAAGATGCAAGTGCTCTTCGTGCTGTAAACATACACGTTTACAGCAATAATTAATCCATATAAAAAATCACACATCAAAGTATATCGATCTATTTCAACATATATGAAATTACCGTTTGGCTGTTGAATGTTAAGCCTCACTCAACATGTCATTGTCTGGATGAGTTCAATCCGAGATGCCCCGCATGACCTCTAACCAGTCTTGCACGTGACAATACTAACAAGACTTGCTGCAGTTTGATATCCCATCGCTGGAGGAATGCTGCCTATTCATATGGTAATTAACATATAACGTCATTTGTCTTGTACCCGTGTTGTCCACGTATTGCATGTTTGTCTGCTCCCTCGGCCAAAGTGCCTGCGTGAGTGTGGAGCATTATAAGCAACCGTCCTTCACTTTAGTTTGTGATATATCAAAATAATTATATTCAGAATGTAGGTCTCTCAGCCCATAATTCTCCGTACAAGCAGTTTATGTGATAAATAATAATACATTATCGTAATTGTAATTACAAATGCGTACAAACAAAATACTTCATATAGCTAACCTCTCCCGGGCAACTACAATACATAATGCTTACAAATAGAAGTGGCTTAAAGTGATATGCTGTGTTTGAAACATCATTCATAAATATGAAACAAATTCATCCTCAGTAAATATATTCACAAAAAGGTTTTTCATCCAAAACTGGCTCCCACAGGAGATATCGCTTAGGTGAGGAATTGCATCACAATGCTTTGCAGACCATTGTGATGTCATTGGTCACCATGACGTCACAATCAAAAGACATCACTAATGGCTCTGTTACTGAAGCTGTTAGCAGTACTTCTTACACTTAAGACTCTGGGCCTGCTTATTACTGTCTACAAACTGAAAAATGTTGGAAGAATGATGTTGGATGATAAATAAAATCTCACCCTCGTGTCTTTTGATATCAAATATATATCAACACTCGTTAATAAAAGTTGAAAAACACAAGCCTTGGAGTTTTGCCACTTTTATCAACGACTGTTGATATATTTGATATCAAAAGACACTTGGGGGTGAGATTCTCTATTTGTCTATCCAATTCTACCTTTGGATAAAACTGAAATAATTAAAAAAATACTTTCCAAGCTATTTTTCACTGTTACACATGTTTAATACGGTATTCATACATCAGTAAATGTAAGATGACCTTGAGCAAACGTTAAGAAAATAAAAAAGTACGTATATCACCAGCCCAGGTCCTACGACCAGCATTGTCAAGGGATATAAGCATTTGTTAAAGGGGAAGTGTACACGCAAAAATCACTTTCTTTCTTTTTCTAAACAAAACGCAATTTTAGAATTAGTTAATATCTGTGTTTGAAAATGTAAACTCATTTTTTTCACAGTGAAAGTAGGAAGCTCACAATAGTGTGAAAATGATATGCCGTTATGAGGCCTTCGTTTTTCGAGCTAAACAGGCCTGAGTTATCCCCCGTAGATTATGACGTAATTGGTGCCAATTCAACTGGATCCCTGTCTATTCTCAACGCAAAAGATATCAAGTACCAGTTTTCGGTAAAACAACATGGCCTACGACACACTCCGGCGCAGTGGTGACTCAGCATAACTCTATGCTGGCTGGCATCTGAGACGCTAGAATCACACAGCTGTACCTACACCACGTGAAGCGGCTCTAACATAGCATGATGACGTCATAATGTTTATCAATTGGCACCAATGACGTCATATTGCAAGGGGCATAAGCCATGGTGTTTTTGTTATGAAAAAAGAACACTTGGTAAATGTGAAAAATATAAATCGTTTTAATGCAAAACATATGTTAATTAATTGTGATATTTTTATATTTTTGTCTATGACACTACTAGGTTAACACTTTTAATGTGGAAAAAGTACAAGAAAAATAGGTTCATTTCCGCGTGAGCTTGCCCTGTTAAGCTCATCACTATAAAAATTACGTATGTAATCTTTCTCAAATTCCTGTCTAACCAATTGTTCAAAATTATCATCTATAGCTTGACTGAGAATCTATCTTTCTAGCGATCTTTCTGATGAATTAGCGGATTTCTGTACGAAACAAAATGCTTTTCTTTCTTCCACAAATCCTTTATGCTATAGTTACATTCATATAATTCCTGAAGGGTTGTATTCTATAAACTGTCTTTTCCCTGTGAACACATTTATTAATTTATTTATTTCTTTAAGATACACCAGTGAATCAGAATTAGTATTGCTTTTCCTGAATTCACTCAAAAGCTTATATTTAGATTGTTTCAAATGTCCACTGTTCTTCGAATTCACGCAGAGAAATTAACGAGAAAACCAAGAATATTGATACAAATAAACTCAAAATCAAACATAAAACATTGAAAAGTGTTCACTAACGTTATACATACATTTAGAAAACTCAAATGTCCCTTATAAATCACCCCAGTGATACTATATTTATTATGATGTAGACAGGTTAGCTGTGGTCTGACCAGTCGAGCTTGTGGAGAACTTAACATTCTCCAGATCTAGCCAAAGGTTAAGGATCACAGCTGTTACTATTATGTTTGGCCTAGTAGATGACTACCGACATGCACTTGTTGGGTGGGTTCATCTCCTGAAAGAAATGATCTTAATGTAACAGACATTGCAGGAATTTTTAGAATGTCTTTCTTCTGGTGTTCTCCAGACAGGTTAAATATTCCTGTATCATATTAAACCTATAATGAGTGAATTTTGTCTGAAGTTTAAATATCTATTTGTTTCAAGTATGCAAAATAGGTGACCAGGTTCTATGTTTTGTTTGGGTGTTTGTTAACTCCACGCAGAGCTTCAGAGCAGGTGGGAGGTAGAATAGCAAATATATATATAAGCTTCTTATGGTTGAGAACTGATAACTTATGGATCCTTTTTGTGCTATATTTGAAGTACAATGGTTTTAAAAGCAAAGGGCTTGAAAAACAAGCAATAGGCTGAGTTACTTATTTTCTTTGAATATTGTCTTGCCCCAGTCGATTGTATGAACAATATGTACATATGTTACGAATGACTTATGGCATAAAAGCCATGTTCAGCAAGTTCACTGTTTTAGGTACACATTATAGTAAATTCAGAGTTTTTTAAGCAGACAGCTGCTAGAACTGCGACCTTGCGAGGACAGTGTTGAACTGTATTTTATCTGTTGCAGCTGATATCAGTTCTGTGGAGAAGGACTGGAAGGAATCGTACAACGAATGGAAGACTCGCTACATCGTAGACTGGAAGCATCAGTTTGATAGCTTCCTGAAGAACTATGAACGCCGATTTCAGACATGCGGAATGCCGTGACTTGTACATTAAACAAACAAAGGAGTTTTGTTTAATATTTACCAAAATATATGTTTTATAAATATAAAAAATAAAATTACTTGAGGCTCTACTGACTCTTAGTTATTAGCAAAGGAAAATACAAGTAATGTGGTTAAAGATTTATGACCACATAATTCATCATTGTTAAAAGATCCAATATTGAAATTCATTATTTTGAAGGTTAGAGCTAGTTTTATGATGATCCATATTTGCAGCATATGTATTGCAGTTTTTCTGTTGATAGTCTGTAAATCAGCTTTTTTTGGACAGTACTAGAGACATGGATCACAGATGGCGGGAAGTGAAGTAACTGCACGCTACAACTGCGAAAAGTTGCAAGAAGCAGGGGCAGGAGAAACTGAGTCATTATTTGTTTTGTGGAACCTCAACACAGTTGTTAAAAAACTGGAGTCTGGTTCCAGCATTTATAGTTCATATGTATATAATGCATCACAAATGTTTCCGGGTATTACTATGTACATAACTGAACATGATTCACGGTATAACCTTTACAAAATTTACCATTTTATACCCATTCTTTATTTCTGAACATTGTTGTGCACCCGTTGTCACAAGGTTTCTGCCCCCAGTTGTTTCTTCATTGCCGGTGTCCCGGTATAAACTCTCCCCCGTACAAATTCTCCCCCCGGAGAGTTTATACCGGTACAGATTCTCCCCCGGAGAATCTGTTCTGAAATAAAATCTCCCCCGGGCGGATATGTTTCGCGCCCCCCTCAGTATAAAGTCTCCCCCCTGATTATTCGGTTTGTTGCAATGTCTTTCAGTACTATATTCTTTAAATAGTTATCTTTAATGTAAGGAGGGTTACTTTAAAAAATAGATTATGAAATATGGTCATAATGAATTGATATTTCAGCATATTTTATTTGGTAACTGTACCTTCCATCCTAAAATAATTATAAGACATAATCATACCAAACAAATTTGAATGAAATGACTTAATGTAACAAATACATGTACGGTTACTGTTGTAACAGAATTCAGAAATCTTATTAATCCTCGCAAACATTCGGTTTTACCACTAACTACGTAAAAACTGTCAACATATCCACGCGCGCCTCCAGCTCAGGCTGTCCGTTATACTCTGATTTAAGATCTAAAATATATTCCTTAATACAGGCTACGATTTGAAAATGGTATCAGTGTAATATCAGTGGCTAGAATATCATGGTGCAAGCAGGTTTCTGTTAAACATACAACATCATAACTATCTAATTCAGCACTGATAAAATCTACTTTGTCTTTAAGACTGCGTACGTTTAGATATATAATCTTTAAATCTGGACTATGCAAAGGTCCTGGATTCGGATGGATATCACCGCAGCCGAAGAGAAAAAGTAAAACTAAGAATGATAATCGGAAATTAGATAAGCAAAGTAACCCAAAATATAGAGAAATGTGTATCATCTTCCCGAAATGATAAGCATGTAGAATAGATTTTTAAAAAAACCCACCCCAGCCTGTATTGAATAACATCAACCGGCATCGTCAAAGCAAAGTGTACATGTAATTGTTACAATCGGGCTGGCCGTGAATCTTAATGAAGAACAACTTGTTAAAAAGACACACCGAAACTGATTGACCACAACCATCAAAATAGTAAAAATGATACAGTATAACCTCACACTGAAGAGAAAACAAGAAAAACACAGAGAAGTAAAATAGCACGTCATATAGAAATGAGATAAAGTAATCTGAGAAGGGATTCATACGTTATATACAACTTAAAAAAATAATATTATGAAAAACGAAAGGAAAAGTGCCCCCCCCCAAAAAAAAAAAAAAAAAAAAAAGAAAAGAAAGAAAAATACCCCGCAAAATCAATCAAAATCAAAATCAACAAATAAAAGGAAACAACCACACACATACAAGTAACTAAATGTTTATTTAGATAAATATATAACCCAGAACAAATGAAGGAGAGAAAAAAATAAATAAAAAATACATTTTTTTATTAAACAAATAAACATTCAAACCTTGAGGAATATGAAAAGCCAATGTGTAATACTAAAGCAAGAAGACACGATAAACTGTACCAACATTACAATGTTCCCCGATGTGCATGCTTTACCTGGGCTACATACGGGTGATCTAAGTTAGAAATATATGACTGATATAAATTCTTTATACACGGTAATATCGAATATTCTTGGATTATCTTTTTTTTCAAATGTGCTCCATTCAAGAAAAGTTATATAGAATTATATATTTACTCTCCCCCATGTATTTTGCTCTTTTATGTAAAAGCTTTTTCACCTTACACATTTTAATTACAGATTCCTTTGTTTTGATTTTAATGCAAACAACCCAGGCTTTTGAAATGCTATACAAAAAGTATGCTCAAAAGTTCGGCGACTTTGTTTCCATAGTGCGCGGTTTGGCGCGGTTTCACCAACTGCAAACCGCTAGGGGCTAGCGTTTGGTAAAACCGCGACAAATCGAAACAGTTCATTTATGATGACGATGTAGTATTTCCATTGGCGCGGTTAGGACCGTTCGGCTAAGAAGAAGAGCCGCAGGACTAATCATATTTATCAGGGAAGATATAAATTACGAAGAAATAAAAATAGACACGCCAAACCTAGAAGCCAACTGCATTAAAATCACATTAAATAACCGAAAAATAAACATCATAAATATATACCACTGGGCGGAACAAAAAGTCCAACCTGAGGATCTAAACAAACTACTTCAAATAAGCGATAAATCTACTATATTCCTAGGAAACTTAACGCTCACCATCCTACACGGAGCATAGATGATAAAATAGAAAATCATGGCAAATTAATCTCCGAATGGATAGAAACAAACGACCTAGTACTCCTAAATAACAACCAACCCACGAGGTACGATAAGATAAACCAAAAAATGTCGGCTATCGACCTAACCATATGCACCGCAGATCTATCTCAAAGTACTCAATGGGAAGTGCACGACGTCCCGCTAGGTAGTGACCACTTCCCGATAAACATAACCATAGTAAATACAAACGTACCAATCCAAACAGAAAACCAAGAACCAAAATTCTATTACAATAAGCTAACTGGGACCAATCCCAAGATATCTGCAACGAAGCTAACTTAAACGAAATAGAAAATAATGACCCAGAAACCTATTGTAAAAACCTAACAGACTAATATATAATAAAGGCAGCCAAAACCTCCATCCCCTTCAAAACATCAGGCAAACCCACGGTACCATGGTGGAATGAGGAAATAGAACAGGCTAGACGAAAACGTAAATCAGCCTTCAATAAAGCAAAACGCGACTACACACATCTAAACTTAGCCCACGAACTAAACCACCAGGTTCAAAAACTAGTCCAAATAGCCAAAAGTAGAGACTGGAAAAAATTCTGCGAATGTATAAATAACCGTAGAGATGCCAGAACGGTCTGGCGCAAAATCCACGCCATTAGAGGCTTAAAACGACATAAAAAACTAACATTAACAACTCAACCAACCCCGCCCAAAAAGCAAATAATCTCGCCAACAACTTTTCGGCCGTTAGCAGTAGCACCAACTTCAGCCCAAAATTCCAAGATAAACTTAAAACAAAAAACAAACCCACAAAAGAACCAAACAATAACAATCTAGAAATAAACCAACCCTACAAAATGGAGGAGCTCCTCTACGTAATCCAAAACAGGAAAAAGGGCACAGCCCCAGGATTAGACCTAACTTCTGAACAAATAATTAAAAACAACAACCTAAAACTATATCCTACTCCCTGGAAACAGGCCCTAGTCATACCAATCCCTAAACCTAATAAACCAGCTAATCAAGCTAACTCATATCGACCAAAATCTCAACTTCAAACTTATGCAAAGTAATGGAATCAATGGCTAAAAATAGATTACAACATTACCTAACCCAAAATAACATCAACTATTGAACTGCATGGCAAGTATTTATAAAACGACCGGGGGAGGAAATATTCTGGGGGGAGACTTTATTTCGTAGGGTGGGGGAGAGTTTATTTCGAGAGGGGCGGAACTGTACCGGTATAAATTCGCCGGGGGGAGACTTTATTCTGGGGGCGAATATATTTCGTGACACCGGCACTTGCCATATCACATATTCCAGTAACAGTAAACTGCAACCAAAGGTCAAATGAACTTTCATTTTCATTTAATGGGCTAAAACTAACCTGGTACGGGATTAAGAATTTGCAGTTAGAGCAAGGAGGCACAACTAAAGTAGTCACGGACACAAACAGAAGTAGACATTGTCCTCTTATTGTCAAGTGTGAGCTCATTAATTACTATGTTCCCGGCAAATCAGTTAATAACAATAGCCCTAACTGGGGAAAATGATCATTGTGACCTGCAAAAAGGGGAAGAAAACACTGTATCGGAGCGGCCAGACACTAACCACTCCAATGAGTACTAAAATAAGAAACAATAATATAATATGCAGTGGGCACATTGACACAGCTCATTCGTGTATCATACAACCTGACGCCACATAGAGTTTGTGTATAAGATGTTTTACATTACCGGAAATCAGAACATACTCTCTACACAATAAAACTAAATGGTGACGTAGACATCACAGTCGGTGACAATATGCTTTTCAAAGTTGATGTTTGTATAATTGCAGGCAATGAATACAATTATTTTATCAAAGAAAAGGACCAAAAGGCACCCCCTATTTGTTATAACAAATTATACTTGAATGGCACATGGTTTGCCATATAAACAGGTGTATGACATTGTCAATAAAAGAAAAGGGAGGGACGTCACAAAACACAAAAAGGGGAGTAAAAAATTACTACGACATTGTCCCCTCGGATACGTTTTAGGAAAACGTTACGGTTTCTTGGCAACAGAACTTTACTGGGCTTACCCGTTAGATGCTCAACCACAAAAGTGTTCCAATTGTGTAAACAGGCAGGACGTACCAATATCAATGACTTCCTAAGCCAGTGTTGATACTTGCTTCCTTCAGATGGCCGTTACATGGTTAAAGCAAGACAAATTGTGAACATTCTTGTTTATTCTGTTTCTTGTAGTGATTTTGTCAACTTGTCTGGCACTTTCCTACAC